GGCCAAAGTGGGCAAAGATAAAAATCTTTGTCATTATTTTATCTTACACATTACAAATACACATAATATACAAATAAAATAAACAGCGTTTTATTTTCAGGTATACAGTAGGCTACAATATGGTGTAGCCTATTCAGCAGGAGCATTAAAAAATTGAATGAACAAATATAAAAATAAAATGCTATATACATTGATTCCTATTAAAACAACTGTATTTAAGTTTTTCAGTCAGGAGAAGTGAGTGATTTTTTTCTTTGTGTTTGGTGTTTTATTAACATTAACATAATTCACCCAAAAATTAAAATAGGCTAGTGTTTTATTTTTATACCTTCATTTACTCACTCAAAAGTTGTTTTAAACCTGAACAAGTTTCTTTCTTCTGCTAAACATAAATGCTATTTTGAAGAAAGTGGAAAACCAAACAGTTGCTGGTCCACAGTGACTTCCATAGTATTTTTTTTTCCTACTGTCAAAGTCAATGTGGACCAGCAACTGTTTGGTTACCCAGATTCTTCAAAATATCTTTTGTGTTCAGCACAAGAAATAAATTAATATAGGTTTGGGACAACATGTGAGTGAATAAATGAAATAAAGAAATTAAATTTTAGGGTGAACTATCCCTTTAATTACAGTCGGCAGCATGTAGCCTACTGTCTCTTTAAGACCTGCACGCATCTAATATACAAGCAGGCATCTGTTTCTCTGTTGTTTACTTTCATTTTAGACATAACCAACTGAGTCTATACATAAACCTAGTGTGTTTTGACAGTATTAGCACAAAACATAACTTAGTTCAGTAATCAGGCACTGTTTGATGGGCTTTTTTGGGTATGCTCAGAAAAAGCGCTCATCAGAACAGCACACTAATGAAACGTTTAACCAGTAAGGCTTTAAAGCAGATGCAAAAAAATGTACTTTTGTGATTGTGAATAAGTGCAGTGTCCCGTGAGAGTAACTCTACCGCTGAGTTAACTGGTGTTAATATATGTGGCGTTGGACAGTAGGCTAGATTGATTCTGCGGCGCCAGAACTGCAGGCTGCAGATGATAGAATGCGCTGCACGATACAACGATATTTCTTCAAAAGCAGATCGTGGAGACATTTTTATCGTCCACGATCAAAAATCTTCATATCGCACACCCCTATGGCGTTATTTTACTGACAAATGTCCTGAGCGCATTATTGTTTATATTTAGGAGCAGGTTATTAGTGGTGACTATGACAGAAATGTACAGTAAGAATCATGTAATCAAACAGACGGTGAACACAATTAAACATAACTATTTTATTGCTCTCCCGACTCACCCCGGTTCAAAGCAATATTCCCCCGCACAGCCGCACTTCCACATACATCAGTTACCTGATGTCTAAGAATGTTTGACACAAAGGTGTGTGACGTTTCAAGTCTCTGTATTTAGATCAATGTGCTCAATAATGTGTCTTTGATAAAATAAAATACAAATATTCAAAACCCCCATTATTTTCCTCTCCTCACATTCTTTATTACCTGCCTCACATTCACACAGTGACAACACAGATGGCCCACGAAGGGCCCTTTGTCTCTCACGTGTGAATTACTAAATATTCATAGCTATGGTCACTCCTTGCATACGGCCTTTCTAACACAAAACATATCTTACAAAAGTTAAATCTGTTTTCTGTGAATGAGTGAGCAGGGTAAAAAAAAAACTCTAGTCTACGACATCCATTTTTTAAAAGTCTTGTGAACAAATGTTCTGTATGTGTTTTATAGCTTTATTTTAGTGACTTAATTTTTTTTAGTTTTTCACTAACCACATATAAACGTTGCTTTCTCAAAAACACAAACATGTACATTCATGCTGCTCACATATTACTGTAGCACAGTTTGTGCTGATTACAGTGTATTCAAATTTTAGCCATTAATATGTTTTTAAAATATTGAAAAAAAAACATACACAAATATCAGGGCATGTCAAAACTTCTCCAGGGCACTAAAACCCCCTCAGACCCCAGAGGGTTAAGAATTTTAAAGTACTCACAAAAAAATCCAATGATTCCGTTTTTTTTATGAAAATATTTAACTAGGCGCACATCAGCTGCTCTGAGGTACAAGAGTTTGTTCAGATAGATTTATTTTCATAATGAAATATCTACTGTTTTGCTCTGGTACGCTCAAAGGATAATTTTGTTGTGGCCCTGAAAAACTATTTTCATTAGCAACATAAAAAGAGAGAAAGTAACTGGCAATATTGCTTCTAAAATGTATGTTATTGAACTGTTGAATCAGACTCACAATCATGCTGTTGATCTGAATATCAGCACAACTCTGATTACCAGCAGCCTTGTGCCTACAGACCAATCACTGCCATGCTGATATTTGAACAACAGTACTCTTGATCACATGATATTGCTTAATTATTTGATAAACAAGTGTTAATTTATTTTACTACCATTGTTCCTCTTTATTTATGTTGTAACCATTTTTTTTATATTTCAGTCATAACTTTCAACTGATCCAAAGAATGCTTCAATTAAATCTGAGGAAGAAGAGTCAGAGTCTGCATGAAGGAACAGCGACGCAGGGAAACCCAACTCTCCTGAATGAGATCTACACCGAGCTCTACATCACAGAGAGTGAGAGTGGAGAGATCAATAATGAGCATGAGGTGAGACAGATTGAGACACAATCCAGGAGAGCAGCCACAGAGGACACAGCCATCAAATGCAGTGACATCTTTAGAGCTTTACCTGGACAAGACAAAGCCATCAGAACTGTGCTGACAAAGGGAGTCGCTGGCATTGGAAAAACAGTCTCTGTGCAGAAGTTCATTGTGGACTGGGCTGAAGGGAAAGAGAATCAGGATGTCCAGCTCATATTTCCACTTCCTTTCAGAGAAATCAACCTGATGAAGGACAAAACACTCAGTCTTTCAGATCTACTTCATGTATTTTTCCCTGAAACCAAAGAAATGGAAATATCCA